AAGTCTGCAGAGCTGCTACGGGAGGCTACTTCAGCCCTCCTCGAGACAAGAGCTGTGGAGCATACACACAGAAACCAATCCTGTCACCCCACCACCCTCAAACATCCCATCCTGAGTGATCATGCACATGAAGCCTCTAGCTGACTCAATTCCACAAGATTCAGAGTGGGAGCCGTGTTAGTCTATCAGCAAAAAGAACAGGAGTACTTGTGGCACCTTAGAGTCTAACAAATTTATTTGAGCATAAACTTTCGTGGGCTAAAGCCCACTTCATCGGATGGCCTTTAGAATCCACCCCCTCTATGGAACAATGGAACTGCACTGCCGCAGAGGCAGGGGCTTCGCAGAACATGAGAAATACTAATATTCACAGTACTGCTTTTAAAACCTACTGACAAAATATTTAATAGAGCTATATAGCTTTACTGATATCTTGAGAACAGAGCACTATTCTTTTCCCCCCACTAAATATCAATACTAAGTTTCCAGTAAAAATAAAGTTACTGGCAAAATTAGGCAAAGGTCAAGTTATGTATAAAAATATCCCACAAAGCACCCACTGTAATGAGAGGATATGGATAACTCTAACCAGTAATTTAATTATTTCCCTCACTTTTAGATATTTGCATGCATAGAGTTGATGCACTATTTTGATTTCCAGAGTGTGTTGTGAATGCTAACTAATGATAATATAAAATGAAATTCATTTAATTAACTGACATTTCACAGGTAATTTCACACTAGGTTGAGTTCACTCAAAAAGCTTGGAAATGTGAATTGCATTTATCTTTTATGAAAGGATCAGTTCAGTTCAATCATGGTTCTTTTATTTCTCACTTTGAAGTTGTTTCACAAAACACACTAACCTCTAATAGAGCTATGACTGAAATTGTCAGAGCATGTTTTTTAATGACAGTACTATATTTTTGAGCATCGAGGGTAGTGCTCGAAATGAAGTTATATAGTTTACATTTAGTCATAATTTTGAATGTCTTAAGATCATTTGTATATTTGCGTTGTATTTGTACAATTGGTTTGTATTTTGTGTACCGATATGTTAGTTATATGAGAAAAATGGGAGCGGCGCCTTCAAAAATATGGTTGGAGCAGGTGGAATGGGCTTTTGGAGGGACATGTGAGCATTGTGTGCTCTGTGTCGAGAGGTCTGCATGTAGCTTGGTAGGGGGGAAGGCTTAATTTGGAGGAAACCCCCCCATCAAAAAGTGAGAACTCAAACAACAATTAAGTTCTTCAAAAATAAAAGTCCTCATTGAAGGTGTATGCCATGACGTGATTATTTGTTTCTGATAGCACCCGCAGCAACTTGCTGTATCTGTAAATCAACCATTCAAAAGACAAAGAATGCAATACATCTGAAGGAGGAAAAGGGTAACATTTTTCCAAAATAATTATTTTTAAAGTATTTTAAATCCCATATCTCTGCAATTAAGAGACACATACATTTAGGAGAATCCAGAGAAATGTACCATTACTGAGTACAGCTGCTATGCAGTGTTATGTATAGTAACATCATAGTGTGTGTGCTACCATCACTATTTTAGCTCATCACCAGTAATCTAGACAGCAGATCACTTAAGGAGATTTCAAGTATAAGCAACAGTTGTTTATCCACTAGAGACCAGGGGATATGTTGGAAGTCTGTCCATGTATGGAGCAGGTCTTGTGAGCCAGAAGTTTGACATCTCCTTTGGGACATGCTAGCTGCAAAGATGAACCCCTCCCCTCCCTAGGAGAGGCACTTTATAAAGTAAGATTCCCAAAGACAACAAGGCACAGCAGCTCTCTCCAGTAACGATGGTAAGTTCAACCCGTGTGGGAAACCATCGTTCAGGTGGGAGACCAGGGCATTTATCTGCATGATACTCCTAGGAAAAGTACTATGGTTTGAAGGAGTGCATTGTGTTTGCAGTAATTTTGAAATCTAAAGTATGAATGTTTAAGAGTTGTATCTTAGCAAAGAAAGAAAGTTTTAACTTATGTTTTGCTGATCTTCAAGTATTAATGGAGTGTGTATTTCAGAAGAACAACGGAGTAAATGATATGTTTATTCTTTCCCAGTGTAGATCAAAGTTATTCTTTCATCTCTTTTCAGGCTAGCAGAAAAACCAAAAAGAAGGAAGGTGGTGCCAAACGTGCTCAGAGAGCATCTTCTAATGTCTTCTCCAACTTTGAGCAGACACAGATCCAAGAATTTAAGGAAGTAAGACAATATAGGAGGCGCATATATATATATATATTTGAATAAGACTGGTCACAGGTACAGAGTTAGGACCATATAAGATCTCTCTCTCTCTCTGCATATATATAGTTGGTTACATATAATTAGGGACAGGTCACAGGTACAGAATTGGGACCTGAACTTCTCAAAGGTTGTACATGTTCAGAAATGGGGTTCTAGCCAGCTTGTTATATAAAGCACATTCATGACTTAGAGTTAAACAGGATGGGATGGATTCTGGTCTGTGCCTTTGGTTTAGACCCCTCTCCACATAATATGAGGATATCCCGTGTCTTTGTCTCTGCCAAAGCAACAGTTCATATCGTGTGCAGTGGTACTTAATCTATGGCTTCAGCAATGCACTTAGCTCTTGGTTGGGAGTAGTCTTGTGCTGTCTTATCTCCACCAGAACAACCAGAGCACAGATCAATCACAAAGGATTTTCTATGGTACCTTACACATGGTACCTGACGTTACACCAGGGGTCAGCAACCTTTCAGAAGTGCTGTGCTGAGTCTTCATTTATTCACTCGAATTTAAGGTTTTGCGTGCCAGTCATACATTTTAACGTTTTTAGAAGGTCTCTTTCTCTAAGTCTATAATATAGACTTAAACTATTGTTGTATGTAAAGTAAATAAGGTTTTAAACATGTTTAAGAAGCTTCATTTAAAATTAAATTAAAATGCAGAGCCCCCCCGGACTGGGGGCCAGGACCTGGGCAGTGTGAGTGGCACTGAAAATCAGCTCACGTGCCGCCTTTGGCACGCGTGCCATAGGTTGCCTGCCCCTGTGTTACACACAGTGCTCAGCAAGCAAATATGGAGTGGGGAAAGGCAGACAAGCCAAGAAACAGGTGTCGCGTGCACCTCCTCACTGCCAGCAACAAGAAAAAGTTAAGGAACAGGAAAGAGTGTTAAATAGAGTCATAGTCACAATATAATCTGAGTGAACAGACTTGCATCTGAAGAAGTGAGGTTCTTACCCACGAAAGCTTATGCTCCCAATACTTCTGTTAGTCTCAAAGGTGCCACAGGACCCTCTGTTGCTTTTTTCAGAATATAATATTTGTGTCACATTGTTGTATTACTGTGCAATAATGCTGAGATGCAACAACAAAACACAATGTCTAAACATCAGTGTGACTGTCTTCTGGTTCTCAACGTCTGTTCAATGATCTGCAATTCAAAGTGAGTAATATTGTTCTGGAAAATATTCAGCACCGTAGTATAAGAGTTGTTTTAAAAAGAATTCATACTCACTTTACACTTCTTATTAAAAGAGAGGGATTTGCAGTTTAAAGTATGATTAAGAGACAAAACCAAACCATCACTTTTTAGTAAGTAATGAAATGAAAAACTGAAATATGACAAGTAAAAGCTTAACAGGCTGGGCATACACATTTTTCATGTAACTTTTTACTAAAGAATGTGTATTTACTGTTAAAAAAAAATAGGGAAATACAGTTCCCTCTCAATTCAAACTTATATTGAACACAGGTATACATGAAGCTTTTCTAAAGCTACAACTGATAAAAACATGAATATATTATATGTATATTCATTCTTTCATGTAGGCTTTCACCTTAATTGATCAGAACAGAGATGGATTTATAGATAAAGAAGACTTGAAAGACATCTATGCTTCTTTGGGTAAGTACACTAGAGCAGAGATATACTTTGTTAATGTATACTTACTCACTTTAAACTCGTAGTTGTAAGTGCCAAGTGGTGGATTATTTAACACTGTAAATATTTGAATTTGTAGACCTAATAGAGACAGAATATAACCAGAGTTCCAGAGACCCAACCCCTTTTAACTTTGGAAGCAGGTGGGATTGTAAACTGAATTCCAATTTCGCAGTTTGCTCCTCTCTCTATTAGGCCAAATCAGCCCCCCAGAACTCAAACAACCTTGAACTTTAGGGTTTTAAAGTCGAGAGCCAGGCTTAATTTCCCTCAGAATGAGATCTGTTAGACAGTAAATAGTAGGGAAGCATCCTGATGCAAATGGTGCATGGTATTTTCCCAGATAAAAATACAGTACAGTATTCTACAGTAATTTCTCCAAACACTGTTTCAGGATTATGCTAGTGTCACACTATTAGTGCAGAAAATTGAAGGTTTCTTTTTAAAGTGTTGAAGTATTTTAGGACTATAACTCCCACATTTTCAATAATATTTGAGCTCCACTAACCCAACCTTAGAAACCTGCCGTTTAAAAAAGAGTAAATTAATATATTTTACGGCCAGAAGGGACAGCTGTGATCATCTGGTCTGATTTCTTGCATGACACAGGCTACAGAACCTCACCCAGTGATTCCTGCATAAAGCCCATAACTTCTGGTTGAGCTATACCGTCTCTTCTAGAAAGCTATCCAATCTTGATTTGAAGACTGCAAGTGATGGAGAATCCACTGTATCACTGCCTAAGTTGTTCCAATGGGTAATTACCCTCACTGGCAAAAAATATTGCATCTTCTAAATTTGTCTAGCTTCAGTTTCCAACGATTTTTCTGCTAGATTAAAGAGCCATCTGCTGTAAGGAGGAAAGTCTTATGAAACCTGCAACCATGTATTACCTAAAACCAGTCCATTTTGCATGCTCTCCCTTTAAGCCTCTTCTGTTTTTTTTCTAGTTTACACCTGCAGGTCTGGTTGGTGGTCACGCCTCCATTAGTGGTGCCTCATGTATACATTTTCCCCATAATTATCCTGTAATTGGAAGGAGTGATTTGTACAGCCATACAGCTTTATCAACTCCTTTTGACAGATTTTTGCAGATCTTCTTTTCAGAAGCCAACTACAGCTATTGAAGTCCATCCCCCACCCACTACAAAGATTCCCGTCATTTGGCCAAGACTGAGTTTGTAGAGCATTAGAAGTGCTATGGTTCTAAAAGTCATTTAAAGAGGGGATTCTGTTTAAAGAATTGTAGAAAGTTACAAAGCAAAATGAAGAAAATAAGTGGAAAGCTGTATTGAAATGGTTCAAGTAGTTTGGGGGGCAATCATACAGCTAGTACGTGGTAGGAAAGGTGCCTAGAACCAAAGACAGGTGCTTTGTCTATTATAACTCTAAATAGTATGGGTATTTGTACACTGAAAGACCTTTTCCTTTAATTTAGGTAAAACAAATGTAAAAGATGAGGAGCTAGAATCCATGCTCAAGGAAGCCACAGGACCCATTAATTTCACAATGTTTTTGAATCTCTTTGGAGCAAAGTTACTTGGTGAGTTTAATACTATCTATATCAGGGATGGGCAAACTTTTTGGCCTGAGGGCCACATCTGGGAATAGAAATTGTATGGTGGTCCATGAATGCTCACAAAATTGGGGTGTGGGAGGGGATGCGGGCTCTGGAGTGGGGCTGGGAATGAGGAGTTTGGGGTGTAGAAGAGTGCTCTGAGCTGGGACTGAGGGATTCGGAGGGCGGGAGGGAGATCAGGGTTGGGGCAGAGGTGCGGGAAGGGGTGCAAGTTCTGGCTGGGGGTGCAGTCTCTGGGGTGGGACTGGAGAGAGGTTTGGGGTGCAGGAGGCTGCTCCAGGCTGGGATCGAGGGGTTTGGAGAGCAGGAGGGGGATCAGGGGTGGGGCGTGGGGAGAGGTGCAGGCTCTGAGCGGTGCTTACCTCAAGTGGCTCCCGGAAGCAGTGGCATGTCCCCTCTCTGGCTCCTATGCGGAGCCACAGCCAGGCAGCTCTGCATGCTGCCCCATCCACAGGCACCGCCCCTGCAGCTCCCATTGGAGCACATAGGAGCCGGAGCGGGGCCATGCTGTAGCTTCTGGGAGCCACGTGGTGCAGCCTCCAACCCCGTGCCCCGTCTGGAGCGCCAGGGCGGGGCCGA